GAATAACATACACCACAATTTCTTTTACTTATTTGAATGAAGTGAAAACGCTAATCAATACGAAATAAATATAAAGTCTTTTATATTCTCTGCGCTCTTATACTCTGCTTAAATTTGAAATGATAAGGATTATTAGTATCATAAATACATATATAAGTATGTAATAGGCTATTTGAAAATTAACATTAGATAACATATAGACGATGAGACAGTAATTGTCTAGAATTCGGCAATAAATACAAAAGTTTGTGTACTAGTCATAGACAACCTAAACAGTCCAGTGAGCTTTTACGTACCGGTTAAATGAAAACCATGGCTAAGCAGAATGATAGTTTTGAGGTGAATGAAACAGAAAACAGCTAAGTGAAGATTATATTACTGAAAACAAGTTGACATTTAAGTCACAGTTGTTTTGCTTTTCTTTTACGTTATTTAGTACATAGATATCTAACCACTAAAACATTTGCATAATCATTACCGTTATTTCATTATTCATCATGAATATAATATGAAGTATATACACGTTTTGAATAATGAGAATGATTAGTTCATAGATTATAAGTAGTTTAATGGAGAAACTATGAAATGAGAAAATTTAATCATCTTCTGCCAAGTTCCTTTTTTTATTATTATTAATTTAGCCAGATTTATTAATTATAAAAAGAAAGTTTTATTATATAAGTTTGTCACTATGTTTGTTTCAGTTGTAATAAATCTTATGACGATAATATTAGATTAGTACACTAACATAGATGTGTCCAAATTTTGTTAGTATTGTGATGAATGAGGATATAAATGTGAACAATGGAATGTATTTCAACATAAGATTATAGAATATTTTAATGAAATCTAAGAATTATACAGTGAATACGTCATTTGCACATTGTCAATTGATTGTCTAAAACTTGAATGTCTTTTTTCTAAATATTAGTCAAATGTCCCAGAATTCATTGTTGCCGTATTTCTATATGATTTGCATTCTGTTCTCGTTCTTTTCTACTCGATCTTCTTGAACTTCTACTTCCAGATATTCTATTTCTGATCAGTGTTACAAACTACTTATTTCGATGTAAGTAGCACACACCATATCAGCATGATATTTTCGTTCATACATACTTACAATTATAAGGGCCCACTAGTTTAAATTAAATCGATTTTACCTAATGAAATCTACTTTACATTCTCAAAGTGATCTTACTGCTGTTTGAGAGGTTATCCTTGATTTTTAATGACATGTCATCAAGTTCTAAAGAAGACAGTGTCGTGATTGAAATAAATCATTTACCAATTTCGATGGTAGATGGCTGAAGGTCGTTAAGAGGAAACGTTTAATATAAATACCAAGCTAGTTAGCATGTCAGCATTTGGGGAGAAATCAATGTTTCCCATGGAATGCGAGGACACATTATACTGATACACAGACTACAATACTACTGTTGAGTAGTGATCAATGTAGTATTTGTCCAGCTCTTCAAATTATTAAAAAACTTTACCGGTCAAGCTTAAATGTAGCCACTCATTCTTTGTAGTTGATCATTTCTTCTGTGCACAAAAATTTTTCAGTGTTCTCTTTTGATTTTTACCACTGAATTCGAAGCCTGTTAATATAATCCATAGAATTTGGAGTTTATGAACATAAAATGTTTCATGAAATTGAATGGTTTGCAGGTTGCGTAACTAGTTTATATTACCGTCATTTATATATCATTTATTTTATTAGGTTTCCGCCTGCTTAATTAAACTTAATAAGGATTACAGTGAGCCTTTATTTTCTACATTTTATTTCAGAGACAACAGTCTGTCAGCCATATAAAGCTTATTGAGTGCTTCTAATATTTTAAAAATACTGTACACATCTGTCTTATTGAATTTAGTTCATTTTCCCAAAAAATAAACTAAATACCTCAAAACACACAAGAAAAGACATCGATTCCTATAAGTAGGAAATTATTTTTTTTAGTTAAAAAAACCCTATGACGATCACCTCTCTATACTTCAATAATTCACAGTGGTAAGTAATAATGGTATCACTACAAAAGGAACCAAGAACTTTCTGTATGGTCGTTACAGGATATTGTGAATTTACTGAAGCTATTAATTTACATCAAAAGGTAATAATGAAAGTCTAATATTAACGTATACTTTCTGAAATAATATGGCTCATGATTTGAGTTCGAGCAATGATATAAAGACTCACATTAGGTGCTCCTTTTTGTTTTTAAATAATTTATTAGTTAAATTCATGAGTCGAATAAAGCCAGAATACTATGGAAAACCTGTAAACATTGGAAAGAACTCCTTAAAAGTGCGCATACACGAACTTGCGGGATTTAAGCCCAGGACCTTCGATCTGGCGCTCGAACACTTAACCTCTAAACCACTGAGTCGGCATCCAGTAGTGTTAATATCTAATTTCAACTAATCCACGAAATTGCGCCACCGTCCACTATTGTCTTCAGTGAGTTACTACCTCACAACAGACACGTTTGAACTCCTTTAGTCTCGGTTTCCCATTACAACTCCAGGAAATACCTCTTGGAGACCGTCACTAGTGAGCATATGATGATTATAATCACAGAGGGGTTTTGTGGAGATTGTAGTAATTTAATAGTTCAATTCATGAATAAGTCCTCAAATTTCAATAAATAACTGATGAAAAATAATTTCGAATTAGAATACTAATGATAAGTTAATAGTCAAACAATTATCTACAAACTGAAGTATGCTCTTCAATGAATAAATATAATCACTGAAATAAAGTGTTGTTTATTTTCTGTTGTCTGGTTTCCAATGTAAGTGTAATTATAATCATAGTTTGTAGTGTTCATTATACATAAAAAAGTCAAATAATCTATTATCATCACAAATATATCCCCAAAGGAATCATTTCATCAATCGTCTTAACTCAGAAAACATTCTTCTGGTTCAAGAGAATATTTTTCAATCATTCTAGACATGAATTGGTTCACTTAACACAATAACATACAGATAACAAACTATATTTTGAATTTTTAAGTAAAACACTTACCTAATAATTGAATTCATCAGGCAATTGAAGCTAGACCACCATGGAAAACCTGCAAGTACTGGAAGGTAGTTTCATCCTGGCAGGCGTCTCCTCAAAAGTGTGCACCCTCGATACTGCTTCGCGCGCAAACGCTTAATCTTAGACCACTGAGCCGGCATCCAATGGTGTTCATATCTAACTTCAACCAACACACGAAATTGCGCTGACATACACTTATCATTTGGTTCAAAATTTAAATCAAAATTTATCGTATATTTTGACATTATTTCACTGAAATCATAAACTGATATAAGTTAAACCACTTTCAGAAATCTGGGAGTACTGAACGTCGATTTCAGTGAAATTCAACAATCTCCATACTGAAAATTAACTTTATTTGTTTAACAACAAATAAATTAGAAAACAATATTCCAACATTTATATCTGGATATCATTATTAATAATGGCTTGAATCGCCCTATTTTATATATTCAGGACCAAATTCGAACCCGTCTTTGTTGGCTTATGTAAATTCTTTGTGGATCACTTCGATAATAAACATTTGACCATAATTTTATTAGAACAGATAGATTATGGCATACAGTGGAATACAAGATAAAGATTTCATTCTATTTAAGATTCGGTAGCTGAATACATCTCCTTTATCGTGTTGTTTTTCACAATGAGGCTTGAATCCAGTACCTTTCACTATATGTTTAGACCCTAATAAGTCAATAAAAGTTCCAAAAACAAAGATGACCAGCTACCAAAAGCCCATTTAAAACCACGTAATATAAATTAAAACTTTCAGACAGTTAGCGATTAACACATAATTTAAAATCACTCCCTCAGAGAAAAAAAGTTTATTGTCAATCACCTTTAATTAATATTCTTCTGAAAGAAGTACGCTTCAGTACAACTCTATTAGTGTTACCTAATTATCTTATAAATGGTACCTAAAGAATACATGCGCTCAGATTTAGACACTTCAATATAGTCAATTGCGTGGATTACCTTTACTATGAAATATTTGCTTCTCGTAGATTAGTTTAGGCTTTTTCACGGTCGAAAACCAGAGAGTGGATTTCCACGATGTCATCACCGTTACAAGGCCCACTGTAGTGAACAATTGAATGTAATTTAACGCAAAATAACAGAACATCTTAGTAAAATCTAAGAACTATACAGTAAATACTTCATTTGCAAAATGTCAATCAATCGTCTCAGACTTAACCGTAATTTCATTTTCACACCAATCATTCTTTATTCTCATTCTCCTTTCGTTAATTTTCTTAATCTTCTATCTCCAAGCATTTCACTTCCGATTGACGTTACATACTACTAATGTCTATCGACATCAGTAGCAAACACCTCACAACTAGTAATCTATGAATAATCGTAGAGAGCTATTAAAGTATGGATAAATCAACAACAAAAATGAAAAATATCAGTAACTAAACTCCAATATTGTGAGACTGGTCCACGGGTGAACTTGAGGAAGCCTTAAGAAACTCAGAAAGGGCCTTAGATATTCCATCCAATCATCATTTGGAAGAATATTCTAGAATCTCTACGTGTAGCTTCCCGATTGAACAATGCTAATAACCCCCTGTGTGTGGATTGAATAGCTGTAATGATGATTTCGTTTTTAGTAAAAACCATAAATACATGACAGTGTCAAATTGTATTACAAATATAATACCATGACAACGGCTATATATGAGTTCTATTCCCTAATTAGAATCTCTGACATAATTATAAATACCGATTGATAAGAATCTCTTATTTTATAAATTGATTCAAATATATGATCCAAAAAGAATAAAAAAAAGGAACTTGGTACCATTTCAAACTTATCGTTATCTTATAAAATTCTTTCTTTCTTTCTCTCTCTCTCTCTCTCTCTCTCTCTCTCTCTATATATATATATATATATATATATATATATATACATTTATACATATATATATATATATATCCATATTTTTTCCAGTTGTATTTTAGATTATGAGGCTATATTTGCCTAAATTATATCTTATATTTATAACAAATACAATTATCCTACCTGGTGTAATACGGAATGAAATTCATAGTAAATCCACAGGTAAATCGTTTCCTATTTTTATGATTTTTTTATTTTCTTCTTTCAATCTACTTAATTATACATTGTTATTATTTGTGCTTTAATTAAAATAGATTTTACTAGAGAGAGAAGGAGGGGTAAGGAGGTAGAGAGGGAGGGAACGAGATAAGTTTTAAAAAATGTACTATAATCTATGTTGAACGACGATTTCTTTTGATGCGTCGTGTAGAAAAAAGAAAAAGAAAAGATTGTAAGTTATTCCGTTGATTCTTAGTTAAAGCTTAATCTAACATAACCCATCTATCATTCATACTATCAATTCTCAAATTATTTTGAGATATAGTCAAAGTTTACATTTACTGGTATTCAGAATTCTCTTGGATGTAGATGAATTTTAGTGTGTATTATTTGATTTGTTTGTTTCTTTTGCTTTCATTGTGAATAGTACCGGATAATGGTATCCAAGACATATGGTCTTTCCCATTTTAGTCTTGTCAATTGTACTAATCTGATTCCAAGTGTTCTCAGTGGGACTGATATTTGCTGTGGCATCTTACTAGTAATAAGAAATTTTAATACCATCAGTGAAAATCTAACTATCGCTTATATAATCTTATTTGTGTTTACTGTGGAACGGTATGAGTTTAACGGGTATCTTTCTATGGAAGTTATCTGAAAAAAACTTGTACTAACAGAACTTAGTAAAATTAACTACTATTTTAAACCTTAATGTTATTCGAGTAAATTATCGGAACATATAACTGTAACTATTCAGTAATACCTGACTTACATACTTACGCCTGTCAACCCAATGAAGCATAGGCCACCGACCAGCATTCTCCAACCGATTCTGTTTTAACCAACTCTAAAGTATTAAGTACAGAAAAGGGTTTTGTGGATATTACAGTAATTTAATAGTTGATTTCATGAGTCAATTAAGTCTAAACCACCATGGAGAACCTAAAAGTACTGGACACCGTTAGATGCCGGTTCAGTGGTCTAGACGTTAAGCGTTCGCGCGTATCACCGATAGCTTCTGGGTTGGAGTCTCGCGGAGCGGGATCGCCGATGCTCACTACTGAGTAGTCCCACACTAGAACAAAACAAATAGTAAAGCATTCAAGATAAAAAGTTATTTTAAAAAAACAAATCAAACTAATTCACAAACTTGTTAAAGCAATGAACAAAATGTTTCATTGACACATTAATACTGAAGCTGAATCTGATTTAATCATATATAATGTGTTACCAATGTATATTCATGACATCTTGATTTCGTAACTGGAAAAGTCTAAGAGTTAACATCCGTTTTTTGGAAACATTTAGTAAACGAATAATTATCATATTTTTGTTACAATATTACGCCTTGAAGGTTATTAATGAAAAGTGTTGAAATCTAACACAAAGTAATCTAGATCCAATTCATTTTCTTACAGTTGAATCATAACTAAATTATCACTAAAATAATCATTTTATAGAATGTTAAGTTCTAGATTAAGTGGTTTGATAAGATATTTAGTAAAGAGCTCATAAATATCTTGAGATGTTGGAGAAGATTTGTAACTCAGGTGGATGATTTTCATGAAATTTTGTGCTCTGAGATAGATGGTTTGGTCCATTCAGCTATAAAGATCTATCCATTATCTATATGCACTGATATTTCGTCATATTAACAGTAAGAAACGATATACATGATGTTTCTGAAACCCTGGGAATATGATTGTAATTTGTTATATAGTTCGAAGAACATATTCAAACTATATTTATTGTCTCATACAATGAATACTTTGAATTAATATTATGTTTTTTTATTACATAATTATAGAGTATGGTGAACATTATATTCATCCGAACGATTTGTTATATCCTACACTTTATGAAAATATTGAAGATGATTTAACATTCAACGAAATTAATGATGACAATGATAATAACAATAATAATAATAATAATAATGATGACCATATAACTTTCAAAAATCGACAGCATATTAATGATCGATTATTTCAACCGATTAGAGATCATAGATACTGGTTAAATACTGAAAATATACAACATAATCAACATGAACATCAAGAAAGAATAATTTCAAATAATCTAATTAAGAAAATTACAGAGAATTTATTGAAACAATCAACAATGCAACAAAATATCCCTGCTTCACCATTATCATCATCATCATCATCATTACCATCATCTGCAGAATCAACAGCATCATTATTACCAACATCATCTATATATCATTCATCATCTAGATCAGTATTACCAATTATATGGTCAAAGAATTCATTACATAGACCATATCGATTGAAACGTGATGATCTTGGCTGGAAAAGAAGTATTCATTATAATGTGTGAATCAATGACAGAATTATTAAATAACAAACAACAATGAACATAATGTCATGAACAATTAATTAATTCATTCATTAACATACTACTAAATATATTTAAAAGTTAATAAATTAATTAAACAGGGAGTTATTTTATTTTTGGACAGAATATATACATATATACACTATATCTATAATAAAACTATTCTCATTCTAAACACTGAATTGTTATTCTTTTCTTCCTATTTTGTTTATGTATTACCCATTATATTGCCTAAATATTTATAGATATAATAATGATTAATATAGAGGTAAATAAAATGATAGTTTAACATAGTGATTGGAAATAGTCACTAAGTTGGTAGGATTCAATTTGTACTTGAAGAAGAAGAACCTGACCATATATCATATTGGTCAACATTCAAGAGATTAATCAATTGTAAAATGATGATTTATAGAGTAAAACTTAATAAGTGAAAGTTCATAAAATTCACAGACAAACCTATAGTGTAAATTATTATGTACATAGTGATGATCAATTTTAACAAGTGATTCATGGAATGTTAATGAGAAGAGCTATGAATAGTCTTTAGTGTCCATAGTCGATCTCTTTATAATACACAAACGATATTAATGCTAATGAAATATTTACCCCGTATTATTTTGTATATACTTATCAGTTTAATCAGGTTAATGAATAACAGAACAAAACAAATCTAATGCATCTGTAGGTACATAGATAATAAGAGAAGGTGAATTTGTTTACTGAATGAGTAATGGATGAGTGCGTCTTGATATAAGATGGATTATGTATAAATTACCTATAACCTATAATAAAATGAATAACTGACACACAAAAGTCAATCAAACACGATAGAGATGACACTGTTAGAGATGATATGACCACGTTAGAATGTCACATTTAATTCCTAGACAAAAGTTGATTACTCAGATATGTGATAAGAGCTCCTTCAAGTGAAATTCAATTATTTCCTAAGTGTTACAAGTATTACTAGTATTAACGAACAGTGATGACGCAATACTAGAAGTTCAATAATGTTGGAAGTACAGAACATTAGGCGCTAAACCAGAGGTTTGAGTGTAGCGAGCTTTCCGTTATACCCAGGGGACCCGGCTTTGTCTCTAGCTGGGTCGTGAACGCACACTGTCAAACAGTTTTAGTTTTGAAGAAACAGTTGTCTTGTGATGACTGGTTTTTCATGATATAATCAACCGGTGACGTAAATATCTCTTTTTTCAGGTTAGAAGGTTGTACTATAAGACTAGAGTGAATTTCAGTACCCCTATAGTAGTTTTAAATGTGTGAATGAAATCACTTAAAGTTTATAATAAGTTTTAAATTTTGACTAGACATTTGAATGAAATTCAATCATCTTCACTATTCCATACTGACTATTGTACATCATTTACTAGAACCCTTTCATTTCGAAATTACCTTAACACAAAATACCTGACATACATACAATCAGTCGAGTTACAACCATAGTCGACAAAAGCTATTCTAATAGAAAAGAGAATATCATACACGACATATGAGAGAAACTGATGAAGAAGAAATACCTTGTAAATACCCAATATTTCTCCTTTATATTCTATATACTATTATGAATATATTAAACTATATATGTATATGTATATATAGAAATCCTATTAGTCATAAGACTTAAATATAGTGTATTAGATTCGATGTACAAATCCATATCATAATAGTCTGGGGTCTGAAGAATAACAAATTTATTTCTAAGATAAACCTCAGAATAGACTTTATAGTGAACTATACTAGTCGTATAAAACTCGTTCATTAATGTCATTGATAGCATTTGTGTCATATCGTAAATGATCGATTTAGTATTGTCGTTGTAAATAATCATTGATCAGGGAATATCATAGGAAGGTGAAACCATTGTACAGTACTCCTACCGCTAAAGATTCTTTTGACTAATGTTAGCTTTTGATGAAAGTTTCAGACTAATGAAAAAGTTATCTACAAAAATTGTACAGAACTATTCAGATGATATATTTATGATCTGCTTGAATATCTGGGCTACCTAGTCCTGTCATTTAGATATTCGAACAAGTTATCTATTTTTTTTAATTGTTTTACCACGTCATCAAGTCTATTAATCGCATAACCTATTCAGCCGTGTTTATGAAACATTTACAACCTTTCACTGTACAACTTACAAAAAAGTACAATCAGAGACATTCTGATGGCTGGCAACATGCATTGAAAACAATGAACATTATTCAGATATCGATTCCTGAACTGTTGATGTATAACTGATGATCACTCAATATTCACCTTCAATATCGATCACGAAATACGAATGGGAAACTTGTTGAAATACTTTATATTGAGAATACTATATTGTACTACAGATATAATACTAAATAAAGCCATTAATAATAATAATGAAAACATTTTCACAATCAAGCTAGACAAGTTTTTAATAACTACTATGTAAAATGATAAAGCCTTCTTAAGAAGATCGAAAGAAAAAGAATGAAAACAGAGAATGACTGGCGTGAAAACGAAAGAATAATGAAGTCTGAGACGATTTTACAGAAGAAAATGTCAAACTTGAGACAATTGATTGATATTTTGCAAATGACGTATTCGCTGTATGTTTCTCTGATTCCACTAAGAGATTAAATTACATTCGATTGTCTCCACTTGTGTTGTTGTTCACTGCAGTAGTAATAGCAGACGTACCCATAAAATACAACACTAACCATATCCCATTAAAATTAAGTTAACCATGTTTGCCAAGATTTGTATTAAACCTTAGTTACAACGATAATAAAAACATAATCAATTATACAATGCATTCGAAAACACAAATATTTACTGTTATAGTTTATTTAGTGATGCGCGTTTCGCTTTATCTGGGACTTGTCAATAGGAGGTACTCACCACATCTTAATAGTGATGTCCATATTGAGATTAAAGCCTGTATCTATTGTTTCAAATGTCCACTGACCTACTGAGATCAGACGACGGCTATCTTACTCAACAAGTATGAATTTTATTTGTAACGGTCTGTATTTTCTCCTTGTTGATATTAATAACTCTTACTGATCAGTCTCTACTATTATACATTCATCCTGTACAGTTTAACTGCTACATTTTTCCCTAACAAAGTTATAAAAACTAACAATAACGACAACACATTTCCTAGACATTCTATCAAAATATTACAATGAGTCAAAATAGGATGTAAATAAATCTGGCTAAAATCATTTCGTGGTTTAGGCTATTAGAATTGTACTATCTTTACAAATCTTCTATAGTAATGTTATTCATATGCTCATTAGTGATGAGCTTCAAGATGTAACTTCTGGAGTTATAGTTTGAAACTATGACCATTGGAGTTCAGTTATGCCAGGTGTGAGACAGACTTGCACCATAGGCAATGGATGAGGGTTGAGTAATGTAATAAACTGATTGAAGTTAGACGTGCACATAACCGGATGCCAGCTCAGTGGTCCATGGGTTAGACATTTGCGTGTGAATCCGAGCTGTTGATATCGATCAGTTTTATACTATAATTAAATGGCTATCTAGTGCCTCTAGGTTTTCAATGGTTTTTAAGATAAGATCAATTTGTGATTTTAACTACGCGAATTTTTATACGTCTATTACTCGAGGAATTTAATGATTGATACTAGGATAAAACACATAATAATAGTATTTGATTTCGCCTTAGTGAAATGACTTACTTCCAACTGTTACCTCTAGTGGAGAAGCATAGGCCGTCTACTAGCATTCTCCATCCAACTCTGTCCTAGTCAATCCTTTCCAATTGTTCTTCATCCTTATGATGCCTACTTCCGATTCCAGACAAAGTCTGTTTTTTGGTCTTCTCCTTTTCCGTTTCCTTTCAGGATTCCAAGTTAGCGCTTGCCTTACGATGCAGTTTGATGGTCTTCTCAATATACCTACTATCCACCATTAGCATCTTTTCCTAATTTCCTCTTCAACTAGAATTAATCGAAATGAGGAAACTCATAAATATAACAAACAGGATATGAATCAGTGTAAATATGCTTCCTACAAAGATAAGCTCAGTTTAAGAGTGATTGAAAAGTTTACTAGTTGTAGTCCTGTATTTTTATTGGTACATCATTCAAAAGTTGAAATTACGTCACACCCATAATACTCTTAACATATAGTACATTAAATATACACTGTTACGTCAGTTCATTTCCATCATATAATTATTATTGTTGTATCCTCTAAGTACCACTTTGGGTCAGTTAGCAATCAACAGATTCAATCTATCAACCCATATGGAAGAGGTTAAATAATAACACGTTTAGGGATCAAAGGAATAAAACCATCATCATGATTATAAGAATAAATAATGATTGAAAAAGACCATGGGATAACAAATAATCACGAAAAAGGTCATAAGAATTAACTAACATTACATTTAAAGAATGAATGAGAAATTCACTTATACGTGAAATAGGCGCTGATGACATCAATCAGAATGACAATGAAAGCATCAGAATTAAACCATCTAGACCATAGATCACAAATTCAAAATCATCCATCTAATCTATTCGTCTTCTCCATAACTGGAAGGTATATACAACTAAATTAACGTCTTAAATTCATATCTACGAAATTAAAAATCAAAATTCTTTTGCATATATGCTCCGTATAGAAACGTGGATACTTTTAATCTGAAAAAACACTTTAGCAAATTTTATTTAAAATTTATTCATGCTAAGAGATCATGTCAGCATATTATCATAATAGAATACGAACCTTTTAACACAGTAGCTAACTAAATAAGTTACAGAAAACTTTGGAAGTTAATTTAAATTCAAAAAAACGATTAGTCACTGAGTAATAACCGATACCTTATCGGTTCAGTCCATTAGTATTCATCTAGTTCTACCGATCAAATTCTAATTTAGCTACTGATCTAGATGACTCAATATGAAGTAAGCTATGACTAGATGTTAGATGGCTGAAGATAGTCAACAAGATATCCTTGAACTAGTTTCTTTGCTAGTTGGTACTGGACATTGCAAACAATGTTGAGATTTCATTTAGAAATAAGGCATTCGTTTATTATTAAAAGCCTGGACGAAATTAATGTTGGCCACTATTCCGTGATCACGTACCTGTCCTCTAGAAGGTCAGTCTCGAGCTGAATGGCTTTGTGGTAACCTTTCATACTGTAAG